CATCGGAGAGTCGTGAGGCACCTAAACACCTTCCTTATGTTGTTTTTCCATATTCCTTAGATGTTTACATATTGTTTCATGAGAGACATGCAATTTCAAGGCCATTTCATTTGTGTGTTGCCTTGGGTTAGACTCAACAAGCGTCTTCAGAGCATTACTATCAATCCCAACATGTCGCCCCCTGCCATCACAGTTTTTAAGGCAAAAGTCATCTGAACGAAATTTGCTGAACCACCTTTGACACTTACGAACGTTCAAGACATTACCATAAACTTCTTTGATATTCTTTGTGGCTACAGAGGCGTTGTTTTCCTTCTAGTATTCAAACAGCATTACATGCCGAATGTGTGTCTCCACTATAAGGGATTAGAGTATACTAAAGTTTACACATTATATATGCTAAACTAACGTGACATTTAGGCGATTCATTTAACTATTATGCATGATGTACGTTTTATGGGGAGTGGTAAATGAAAGTGTTCCAAAACGCGACATTAATTTCATGACGACCTGGTATGTTGTACAATTACATTTCTTAAAGCAGTATCACGTCTTTATACACGTCAGTTCAAGGTGATAAAAAATTCACCGATACTAATTTACAAATGATTTTGGTGTGTATTCCAACTGTTTGAGTAGTTGCTTAAATACCCACCAGTTGTAGAGGTGTTGTTCTCATAGAACAACTTATCAGGTTTTGTTTTCTTGTTTCTGCTGCTTCTGCTCATGTTAATAACCATCCCTAATCGAGAGATCAGAACATAAAAGTAAAAACTATGCTGATTTAATCATCATCTCTACCTCGCTACTCTTACTCAAACATTGGAATTGATTGTCACAGTTATAACACCCCTGTAGCTGAAAGAGTAGATTGTGCTTAGCGATATACCGCAGCTCGAACCTTCAACCTTCCGACCTGATAGGAACATTACAAGGATACGTTAGTTATATGGACTGTAAACTCTGGGTTGCATGGCTGTTAGTAAGAAAAACCTTTTATTAATTGCTTCGTTTTCCTGATTATTTGTTTTCATTGTCCGTAGCTTTGTAAATGCATTCTTTTAACCCATCAAACTGGCTCTGTTATCTGGTATAGTTAACCCTTAAGTACCATATAAAGAAATTAATTTGAAGTCTGTATAACCCCATCAAAACCACACTAGTAGTTAAAGGTTAAAAGTTTGTTCGTGCTGATAAAGTTACATCTCAACATACATTTATTTTTATTAGAGACATTGAAGTCTGTATAACCCCATCAAAACCACACTAGTAGTTAAAGGTTAAAAGTTTGTTCGTGCTGATAAAGTTACATCTCAACATACATTTATTTTTATTAGAGACACTTTAAATGAACATTTTTTACTAATCGTGTAACTAGCTGTATGACCTGTAGGTATCGTAGTACATTGACGTCATTTCTGAACAGAAATTTGTTTTTCAATTTCGCCTGAAAACAGTTTTATTACCGTCGATTAATTTGTGAACGAAAAAAAAATTGTCGTCTTTCAATTATTTTTCAAAATACTGTTTTGATTTGTGAAATTTTGTACAATTATAGTCTCAACTGTGCCCTAGTGAGATTGAGGTACACCCAATTTTAACTCCTTCGTGTAGATGCCAAGGACAAACCAAGCTGTAGTTGTATAAGTAATGTGTAACTTTATACAATGACAATGTAGTTTCAACTTCAAGTCTGCACCTTAGACTGATCTTGTTGAAAATACTGAGGATAAAAATATTTCTAAGATAATTTGAAACGGAGAAATTGTTCTACAAGAAAAAAATAAAAAAATATGGTCCAAGTCTTGCAGGACTTTACTGTTTGTTAGGTTAAGAACAATGGTTCCGACATTACTCATGATGGAGACCATACAAAGTTAGTTCTCAAGAGTTGGTTGAATGGATTTGTGGTTGGGCCGTTAGGTTAGGAAATTATGTGTGTAACCATAACAGGTTATGGTACTTACCTCATCAGACTCATGATGCGGGGTATATTGCATGATTTACTTTACATTTTGAATTCATGTTTATTATAAGACCAGTCTGTTTAAACATGTTAGGATCCACGTTGCTGTTTTGGTTAAACTTTGTAAGTAACAATGTCACAACTAATGGAATCTTTTTAAACCTGTTCTGATGTATGTGACTGGTTTGATTAAACCTGTTTCCAGGTTAAAATCATAAATAATATTCAACGTTAAACTGTTACACAATTAAAAACATTTTATTTAGCCCTATCTATGGCGTTCAAACAGTTGTTTTGGTTTTGATACAGTATTAAAAGTTTGATCGTTGCATCTGTACATGAATGTAGTAGGTTATTAGTGATTCCCAGAAATCCTGTTACTATGTTCTAAATTTTGATCCGTTTCGTGTTATATATCTGGCTGAGTGTTGCGTGTGCTATTAGTGTTATGATACTGTACAGCCATCTTTACGATGCAAGATCTAACTGTTACTCCTTCGATCATTCATAAAGGGACTGATCTAATTACACTGCGTAATATCAGAAATCAGGTTAGACTTGTCTGTTAATGTTGCCCCCTTAGTGTATACTTTCTTCCAGCTTCTTAGCTGTCAGCAGTTCTAGTTGGATAATAAGTGCACACGAGTATTTTAACTGTCGATGTGTATTTATATGTAGTATTATACGATCAACAGAGAATAACATACAAACTGGCATCTTTAGCAATGTTTTATAGATTCGAGAATCTAACGTTTACATCCATTTATCTACTTTATACATATATGTGTGCAATTCAATTTAGGGAATGCGATCTCCCCCCTCATGCCTACGCATATGTGAAGTGGTCACAACAACTAAGTTAGCTATCACTGAGGGTGTTTGGGTATTTGAGAGGACCCGCACGTGTACGTTCTATGCTCAATCCACTGGTACTGATCTCGTCATCCGAATCCCTAAAAGCACGTGTGCTTTGGCGGCACCTTAACATCTGTGTATCGATAACCTACCTAAGGCCACGTGGCCAGCCTTTCAACGACTCGTGTAGAAAGAAAAAATAGAGAACGTCCCCCCCCCTCAACACATACACACACACAATATATGTGTGTGTGTCGATGCACATGTATGTATATACATATGAATAGTTACGAACGAACGTAGCAAACATTCTCAGTAAAGAAATTACTAGACTGCTTTAATTCAGTAAATAAACTTTTTTAGTTTGTTATGGATTTCGCGCAAAGCTACACGAGGGTTATCTGCGCTAGCCGTCCCTAATTTTGCAGTGTAAAACTAGAGGGAAGGCAGCTAGTCATCACCACCCACCGCCAACTCTTGGGCTACTCTACGAATAGTGGGATTGACCGTCACATTATAACGCCCCCACGGCTGAAAGGGCGAGCATGCCGGGCCAACTTTATGAATTAGCAATGACTTTTGACATGATCCTAAAAAACTTCGTATTGTTGAATAGATGAATACAGGGGGAAAGTTCTATTGTATTATGATATTATTTATCTTATTATTTTCTGTCTTTTTATAATAATTACTAAATTGTGCTTTCATATGATTTGTTTTTGTGCATGTCCCCGTAAAAGAATAACGAGCCATAATTGGCAAGGAAAAATTAGAATTTCTCGTTAAACTGGAATAGTTTTTTTTTTTATCACTTACAGTACGCTCTTGTCTGTTTTTAGTGTTTTTGAAATGGAAAAAAAAAAAGTTACTTGTGTAGAAAATGGTTCTGTCATGATTGCATTCTTATATTTTGTCAGATAGACATAAATTGTTCACTGATCTATCTCAGCCGTTCGTCACTCTTTTGGGATTTTTTTAAGTGCTTCAACATTCCATTGTATTTTGTATCGCTTTTTAAATTTATTAGTTTATGAGAAAACACAATATATATTGGTATAAAATATACAACAAATCCAACACTGTTTTTGTAATGTGGCTCCATCTGTTGACAATCGAGATGAACGGACAGATCTGATTGTCGTGAAACTTGTTTGTTTTAATATCTGTCTGGCGATTTGTAGAGATATTTTAATTCCTTTTTTTGAAATGACCTAAGATTTAAAATTATCATTATTTAAATTACTATTGCTTTATTTCTTTGTTTACATCTGTGAATTATAGTTCGCATATAAAGCATATCGTGACAAAAAAAAAAGCTTATAGCAGATTTGTGACGTTTAATCGCACTGAAAATGGTTTCACTTTTAATTTTTCTCACTCTCTAGTGGACACAATGATCAAGAAGGAGCCACACTGTACCCAGTTTTATAAAGGTAAATCTAGTTTTAAATATTTCACAGTTTCTCATGCATTTCGTCTTGCTGAGAATCAAGGTATGTTTACAACGTTGTGTAAATTATTACGGTCAGTTTATGTTTACAACGTTGTGTAAATTATTACGGTCAGTTTATGTTTACAACATTGTGTAAATTATTACGGTCAGTTTATGTTTACAACGTTGTGTAAATTATTACGGTCAGTATATGTTTACAACATTGTGTAAATTATTACAGTCAGTTTATGTTTACAACGTTGTGTAAATTATTACGGTCAGTATATGTTTACAACGTTGTGTAAATTACAACGTTCATTTTATGTTTAAAATGTTATGAAAGTTATTACGGTCAGTATATGTTTAATACGTTAGGAAAGTCATTAGTCAGTTTATGTTTAAAACGTTTACTTTTGTACCTTTTACTTTTCCATCCCCAAGTGTATAGTGAAGGTCAACATCGGAGTAGATAGACTGAACCTCACTTACTCATTCTTAGATCCAGCTACCACTTCTTACACTAAAACAGTTTTTACTGAAATACAACCCACTTCTTTACTTTTTTAAAAAAAAAACATCTGATCTTAAGTGAGGAAATAAGTGTTGTATAATGATTGTTTGTTTTTGTTCGTCTCATTGGTGTTAACGATGAAAAATACTGTAACGTTTACTGTACGTAGAGCCATATTGAAAGAGGAAGTCATCTGGCACGAGCTGGTTATTCACGGGCTTGTCAGAATAAATTGCTGTGTTGACTTCCTTCTTTCTACCTTGGATTATCTTGACTCTCCAAGTGGTCCGGAAAGGCTAGTCATTGCTATCGGCGCAGAGCAGACAGTCTATGATCTTAAGGAAGCCAAAACTCGTGGGGCCGAGAGGATTGGAGATGGTCAGTTTATGACTGGTGAAGCTTTACGGAGCCAGCAGCACGGCCACCCATATGTAGTGAAATAGTGGACGAGGGATTAGAATCAACTGTAATCTCCCTTCCCCACTAGCCGTAATGTATTGATGATTCAGTATGTGCACGTGGGCAGAGAAGTTTAGTAATTCCTGGATTTAACACCAGGATGACAGCCATCGATCTGGAGCGGGGGCTAAGATCCTTTTTATTTATTTATTTGGGTACTGGGACTGTTTTATTAACTCAGTCTTGGGGCGTATAAATGGGCTAAAATTAGTTTATGTGGTCATTAATTTGAAACATAAAAGACATTCACAAGATTAGACTAATGATTTCTAAATAAGTTGATTCAACCTCAGAGCCCCATCCCCCAATGGCACAGCAGTATGTCTGCGGACTTACAATGCTAGAAGCCGAGTTTCGATACCCGTGGTTGGCAGAGCACAGATAGCCCGTTGTGTACCTTTGTGCTTAACTTCAAACAATCAACCTCAGAAAATTTTAATTTAAAAATTCCTTTATGATATATTATCGTTAAGCTATCTTAAAGTTGAATATGTAACGTTTTTCTTAATTCTTTGTAAAGAGTTTATGGACCTTGAATAGTGTAATTCAGTTCACAAAATGTTATGTTTATGTGAACAAAGTGTTTGTATTTAGGCTAAAGTTAATCTGTATGTGTCGTTTATGCTGAGATTGTTTCAGTTTAAAAGCACGTGTTTTTGTGTAATTTGATAAGTCGACACAGTTTTAATTGCACAGAGGGTTAATCGCGCTCATATGAAGAGAGTGCAGTGGCCTACATGGGCTGAATGTTTAGTATCTGTATGTTTAGTGCACCATCCATCTCCTTCCACAGAGATTTTTCTCATCCTTTTCCGAGGGAGAATATATGGATAGCGAGTTTTTCAAACATTACAAAGCCAGAGGAGATATCATGTTAAAAAAAGAAAGCCTTTAATATTCACCGTGAAAGCCAAAGAATTGACCCAGCAGAGCGTTTAGGGAAGAAACGGACTAAAACAATCCGGAGCAACGACATCATCCGCAACATGAAGGCTATGGTTACAAGAGAGAACTTTCCGACCCCAAAAAATATTAGAATGAAGCTGGGCATGTGTACATGAATAAGATAATAAACATGATCTTGGAAGCCGACGTCCACGTTCAGTAAATTGTTTGTGGAAAGTTTGTCAATATGTGTGTGATCATGTACATTAGATTAAACATGATTGACCCTGGAGAAGAGCAACACGGACCTAAAAGACACTTATAAAAAATAAACTTTAGTGTGTGTATATATGTATATGTATTTAAGGTGTGGTGATACGATACGATTTATATATATTCACGAAATTTCGTAAGCTTTCAGTAAACATTATAAGTCTTTTGTACAGAAAAATTCAGAATTTCTCATGAAGTATTTTTGCTACAACCTAATGAATGATTCAATAAAGGGAGATAAGTATTGTCTTAATTTCTTTTATCAAAAACATTACATGCAAATTAACATACAATAACAATATAGATAGACTAGATATTAACTTTTTTATTTATTTTACTTCTCTTGCCAGGTGATGAAACCTGAGAATTTGAAAAAGCACTGTAAAGTGTGAAGTACTTATATAAGATAAGATTGTCAAACTTTGTAACAAACCGTTGGTAAAACTTCTGTATCTAGATACGTGTCGTATCATCAGTATTTGGTTACGTATCGTATCGACTACTGTGAAGAGATACGCTTGTTTGTTTTTTAAGCTACACAATGGGCTATCTGTGCTCTGCCCACAACGGGTATCGAAACCCGGATTCTAGTGTTATAAGTCCGTAGACATACCGCTGTGCTACTGGGGGACTAAGAGATACGCACCCCTAATATATATATGTGTGTACACACACACACACACACAACAGTCAGTGTGTGTTCTTTGTTGGGTCAGTGAAGCTTTGGCCAGGTGGATAAGGCGCTCGACTCGCAATCTGAGGGTCGCGGGTTCGAATCCCCGTCCCACCAAACATGCTCGCCCTTTCAGCCG